ACTCACTAGCGTCCAAAGCAACTCGTCGCACCTCGTTCCCTTTCGTCCATACACCTTTCGTCTCGCCGCCGGTCGGGGTCCCGCTCCGGCTAAGCCAGACTAATGGCCACCGCCGCCGTCCCCAACGGCCACCCCTCCGCCGCCGGCGACGATAGTCCTCCGCCCCCACCGCAGTCCTCGTCCTCGTCCTCGTCCTCGCTGGTGTTTCTGGGCACGGGCTGCTCCAGCGCCGTCCCCAACGCGCGGTGCCTGATTCAGCCCTCCGACCCGCCCTGCGCCGTCTGCTCCCAGTCCCTCTCCGTGCCCCCGGAGCTAAACCCCAACTACAGGTATCGTCTCCCTCCCCCTCCCTCTTCCCCCTCCCCACCTCTGCACGTCGTCGGTATCGGGGTGCTCTGTTGCCGTGCGGCGACGTGGGGTTATCAGTGGTTTCTCGCCGATGGCGCGGATCCTAAGGCGGGCTTTAGGTTGGGTCGTTTCTGTGAATCGCGTACATGGTCAATCAATCATGCATTTCTCCGGGCGAGTAGGGTGGTTGTCGCCTGGATCTGGAACGTCTGCTAGTTTGGCGCCATCAGTAGGAAGCTGTTGTTCCGTGCTTCAGATTCAGAACCGGACACCTCTGCTCTGCGTGATGTTGTTCCCTATAAGGCTATAAGCGGTGCATTCTCGTGGTATGTAGTGTCAATTTTGAGGCATAGGAGCATTTTAGCAGTAACTGTTATCATGTGATTGAGGAAAAATGTTGGGATGTGCTGGACACTATACTACATGGTAATGCTCTGAACTGTTTTCAGTTTGAATGGGACTGAGACTGAAGTATTGCCCTGTTGTGTTCCAATAACACTTGAGCTAGCCGAGGGGAAATATATGTTGGATTTATGAACAAGTGGATTCAGGTTTAAGACTTTGCATGCCAACATGGAGTTATTTACCTGGTATTGTGTGTTTCATTCAAAGCTAGTAGTGAGTATAGCCTTTTCTTTCATACAGGCACAGGGAATACATGAAATTTGGTTGCACGGTACTAGATCAATGCTGTATTTAATGCTGGGAAATTAGTAACTTATAAAAAATCAACTTACATGGTAACATCATCTATTGATGAGATAAAAAAAAGATATGTTTAGCACCTCGAATGAGGGACACAAGTTCTACATGCTGCTTCGCGATGTCATGGAAATAGGATCAGTGATTGGTCTGTTTGGTTTGATGATATCTTGAAGAACTTTGTACTGCATATTGAAGGCTACCTATCTCATGCAACAACCTTTAGTTTAAAATGTTTTTTGGGAGATGAGCCACTTTGATAGGATTATAAGCTAGCATGCTACATGCTCAATTGCTCATATATGCAATTTGATGTTCTTGTTCAAAACCTTCTCTGTGACTAGATATATTGTCCTGGTTGATCTAGGCAGGATGCTACCAAAGTTATTTCTGTATATTTGGAGCCAAGTCGATTTCAACTTCTTTCTTTCGCCTTTCGAGATGAATGTAGCTGCTTTAATATATAATTGCTTGGCACACTTCTTTCCAAATATTTCCAAGTATTAATGCACCCGTGATAGTTTGTACTCCCTCCTTCCATCTATATAGGGCTTAATGCGTTTTTTGAGGCCAACTTTGACTAAATGTTAGAGCAATAATATATGACATGCAAGTTACACAAAGCATACCGTCAAATTCGTATGTGATAGGAGATTCCAATGATATAATTTTCACATTGTACATCTTATGTATTATTAATCTTATCAATAGTCAAACGTAGTCTTAAAAAACGCATTAGGCCCTATATAGATGGAAGGAGGGAGTAGCTATAATCATGCTTATGTATGCATTTTCTGGGACTACATTGTCACTTGGTTTTGTGCAGGTGTAATACTTCTCTTCTGATTGATTATTGCCAAGATGAAGGTGCACACAAGTATATTATAATTGATGTTGGGAAGACATTCCGAGAACAAGTTCTGCGGTGGTTTGTTTGCCACAAAATCCCCTGTGTTGATTCTGTGAGTTCTTGATTGTGTTCTTGTTTCATTTAGCTTATCTGATATGGTTTATTGGATGACCAAAGTGCCAACAGTTAGATATCTGCAATAGTAAACAAAAAACTGCCATGGTTGTGTATGCATTGACATTTGACACCTTTAATTTATTATAATTTATTTATTACAGATTATTCTGACTCATGAGCACGCAGATGCAATCTTGGGACTTGATGATATTCGGGTTGTACAGCCATTTAGTCCTACAAATGATATTGATCCAACCCCTATTTATCTCTCCCAATATGCCATGGACAGGTACTTAGTTCTTGCTGACATTTTAGACTTTCATGTTAGTCTATTGTAAGAGAGCCTTATCAGTGGTACATGTCATGTACTCTTTTAGTTCTGACATGCCATAATATACTACTTTATGATTTATGCTACATTAACTATTTAGCTCTGTGTACTCTTTATACCATTTACCTTGATTTGTACTATCTAGTAGGGTCTTAAGTGAGAATTTGTACTATCAAACTCACATGCTTAGTTTGAAACAGCATTTCCCAAAAGTTTCCATACTTGGTCAAAAAGAAACTAAAGGGAGGGGAGGAGGTCAGGCGGGTTGCTCAACTTGACTGGAGAATAATTGAGAGTGATCTTCAGAAACCGTTTACTGCCTCAGGCCTACAGTTTGTTCCCTTGCCGGTAAGAAGTGCATTTTTCTATCAACTTTGTGTTTTCTTGCTTCGTCCCTGTCTCTTAGTTTTGTATATCTCTCAGGTGATCCATGGAGAGGACTACATTTGTCTGGGTTTCCTTTTCGGAAGAAAATCTAAAGTTGCTTATATATCCGATGTTTCACGGTTTCCTCCTAGCACAGAAGATGGTAAACCTTCTTCCCCTCCTAATGCTACTCGATCAACTGTATTTTATAATTAGCTCTGTGTTTCACAGCGCATGTGCTGATTGTTTGCATTTTAGAACAAATTTTTATCACAACATGAAAACATATCACACTATTCACTTAATATATATTTTTGAAATGAAATCCACTACAACGAACCTTTTTAGAGTGATCAGTAAATTCTCTCTGTGTGGTGTTCGCCATAACACACAAGTACCCTGCAGCAGAAATTATAGTGCAATCTTGATTTATGGACCTGTATACTTGAGCATAGAGTTTTTGAATTAAATATTTATCCATAAGCTTGGCATGAATGAATTGTGAGCTCTTTCTTTGCTATTCTGTCCTTCCTCTGTTAGGGAGGCATTATTTTCTTTGATGAAAGCTGTTATCTGGTAGATCCATTTGTGCCCTCTCTTGCTTGTTTTCACTATCTAGAAACCTTCATTAAGGTGTTCATGTACACATGCTTTTCAGCAATTTCAATGTCTGGAGGGGGGCAGCTAGATTTGCTCATCTTGGACTGCCTATACAGGGTTAGTTTCTTGAGTTCCTCAGTTATATACACGTATTTTTTCCTTTGGGTTGCTTATATAATTTGGTTCTGGGCAAGTGATATGTTCTATCTTATTTCTCATTCTTGACTGCTGAGTTTGTTAACCAATTCCTTCAATTTAACTGGCTTTGCTCGTTACACATTTGACCTTTCTTTTCTGTAAAACAAGGGAACTTTTATTAAATCCCATCTTACTAGGGAGGCTGACTAATAACGCAAGTATATCAATGCCCATGTACCACCAGCCCAAAAATACCAGTAGCCAAAAGTTTGCTGGCCCAAAAACAGCAAGGACAAATACATATCAGAATATTGAGGGGACCATACATGATAACATATACTCCATCCGTCTCATAATATAAGAGCGTTTTTTACATTAGTGTAGTGTCAAAAACGCTCTTGTATCATGGGACGGAGGGAGTATATACTATATATCAAGGATCTAACACCGTAAACTACCATGCCTTTTTCCTGATGCTTGAATTAACAAATATACGCAGGAAATCTCGGTTCTCTGACTGTATTGGGTGAGACCTATTTCTTCATGGGCTACATAACTGTGTTTGAGATGTTGCAAAGATGTAGTCAAATTGTTCGAAGTAGGGCGCTGAATGTGCAACATGCTGATACTGTTTGTATATTAAAAATCACAAATATGTTCTAATGCCCATAGGGGTGTGCACCCTTGTTTACAGAAAGAGTTTATATTCTAAATGTTTCCAAAAGCACGTACTCAAAAGATGCAAATGCCAAGACTTGCACATACTGTGATGCTGCTTTTTATATGATAAGTAAAAATATACGGCTGATTCTCCATGTGATTCGTAATCTTCAGTCACTGTTGGAAGCAATCCTTCTCTGTTTGATTAATTGACAGCAATTTGATAAAACCAGAGGTTGCTTGAGAGCATGTAATATTACATTACTTAGCCATGTTTGGTTGTTTCATTCTGATGAGTGACATATATACTTGTGTTGGGCTCTGACATTCTTCTCTATGTGTGAACAGACTGGTTCTCATAACGTGCATCTTTGTTGGGATCAGGTTAGTTTCCTCTTGCACAACTCAAGGAATTTGAACGTTCTCCTCCTATTTTTTCTTGTCAAATTTCTTGCTCTCCCTTTTTGGCTAATATTGTGCCATGCAGACACTGGATGCTATTAAGAGGATATTCCCCAAGAAGGCATTGCTCATTGGGTTGACTCATGAGATGGACCATCACAAGGACAACCAGACACTGGAAGAATGGTCCAGAAGGTAGGCCTTCTCGCAGGATTGTTTCAGCTATTACATCCACAAGCTCATCCAGTCATGCCCCAAATAAGGCGGCATGAACCACACAACTGTACTTGCACACTTTCGTGAATGTTACAAGCGATGCTGTCTTAAAATAGTCACTACTCATTTCACTCTGCTGTAACTGTAAGTTCCTAAAGTGCATGCATGCTCATGGACTGTACTCTGCATGCAGAGAGGGGATTGATGTGCAGTTAGCTCGCGATGGCTTGCGTGTCTACATTGATCTGTAAACGTGTTGAGGTACAATTCTACATGTTTACTCAACACTTTCTTGAGATGTTTATTGACACTTCGAGGAATACAAGTCTATAGGGATCAAACATATTGCCTGTTCATTATTACCCGCTTGTGGGACTCGCTTCTTTTGTGCTTAATGTACCTGCACAATCATGTTACTGCTTTTTGCTCCACTTCACCCTCATGATTTTCCTTGACATTTTAATTCAGGACCATCGTCGAAGCAGCGGCCTGTACCACCCAGTTTGCAGTTGCTGTTACAATCCAGCCCCTATCGAGAAGAAAATGGAGGAGACATCAAATGTTTGTGCATTCAAAATGATTGAATCATTTACAAACCGGATTCAAAATGAATAACAAGCAAGAAATACCTCGCAGATTCTGTTTCGATTTTATTTGGGTAGTCCCACGTTTGAATGTTCTCATTATCTAGAGGCTTCCTACACCGGACACATCTTGGTGCAGACGGTACAGCGAACACTCGACTCATCAAAGTTTAGAACGCAGGAAAATAGAAAACCATAGAATGTATCTTGGTTTCTTGTAGGAACCAAGACCATAGGTGGACTTGTGAGACACAAAGAAAGGAAAAAAAAACATGAGGCAAGACCTCATGTTTGGTTCCCTCTGAAATTCAATTAATCTAAGGAAGAAGACGACCAATATGGGTTTTGATGTGGTATGTTTTTTCT